TCTCACACACACACACACACACACACACACACACACACACACACACACGCACACACACGCACACACACGCACGCACACGAACACACACAAGGCCAGTCGTGGGGTTAAAGACTTACCTGTTGGCCGGTGCGCCGCTCCTATCGATGGCCAGCAACTGTTTAAGAGAGCTATCTAATCACGCAACCGAAATTTATAGCGTGCATGCATGCGCGAAGAACACGGAATTGCAAAGACTTAGAAAGAGAGAAGGGGAGGGAGGGGCTTCATTATGCATGACCAGATCGCGGCGTGGGGGACGTGGCCACTCTCCACGCATCGATCCGATCATGCAGCCCGCAGGCCAATTAGACACAGCAAAGAAGAGAGAGGGCGTGAAAGACGAAGCTCAAGAAGAAAGATGCAGTTACAAGGGCGCCCCGCCGAAAATTACAGTTACACGCAAGATTAAGGGCGTCGACTAATCAGAGCTCCGTTGCAGCCGCAAAAAGAAACGCACGAGCAAAAAGCATCGCGCGGCAAAAAAAATTTTGAATTCCTAAATTTCTAAATTCCTATTTAACGCAAAAAATGCAAAAAGAACTTGAATAAAGCACAAATCCCGAAAAGAAAGTCTGAACTTCCGAGAGCCATTGAGGGCTCGACAAGTTTCGAAAAAGAAATTCAAAAAGAAAGAAGCAAAATTCTCGTGCGATCACCACGTCGAAAACCCGATAGCAGAACAAGAAAGAAGCGATGTCAACCATTATTAATCGCGCCTCCGTCGGCGCGCCAGCCACTCAATCGACCATCCCGGGACTTGCCTAGCCCTGGCCCCAGCCATCCGAAAAGAAGCGACGTAAAAAGAAGAACAAACAAGGACACCGATGCAATTCTCCCGTTGGATCCCATCTCCCATAATTGGCCCAACCTTCCAAGCTTAGGACCCCTCATTGTCATCACGCGGAACAGGAATTGGTTCATCACACCTAAGACTACATATAGGGGACCCCTGCAAGCATAGGGCCTCACAAACAAGGTAAGTCATGTTGGCCCCAGCCCCAACCGCGGTAGTCAGAGATGGGGTGGGGCCGCTGGTGGGGGTCCGGCTAACACAAAGACTGAACATTTTGCCTGCGCCTCCCTTTCTCGTTGTCCCCACCCCTCATTGAGTAGCAGCAGAGGCCATGGCCAACACTCTCCCACACACCACACACATCCCACTCGCACTCGCACTCGCACTCACACCCGTGCTAGTCATAGACCCCTCTAATACTGATCGGGGGTATCCAGAGGACTATCACGGTCCGTGGCACTGAGTGTGCCACAGGCGGCATGGGGCTTGAACCCACAACCTTCTGAATGCCACTTGCGTGCCTAACCAACTGAGCTAGGCCGCTGGATAGCGCAGATATCATCGAGAGCGTGGGAAGTTGACCTGCCTCAGGTAATGCCGAAGTCGAGGGTAGTGGAGCGAGGCCCATTGTGGGCATATGATTCTGTCGGGATTCAAAAGTTTTTTTTTTTTTTTAAATTCAGTAAATGGAGGCTACGCTGTAGCAATTGCAGGTCAGCTTTTCTTCCTAAGAGTCTTCGAAAAAGCCGAAAAGTTTTTCATAGTCATCAAGAGAATGGATAATGGATAACCTAGATATCATCGAGTCGAGAGCGTGGGAAGTTGATCTGCCCCGGCCCCCAGGTAATTCCGAAGTATGTTATTGGTCCTCGCTTCACTACTCTCGACATGTGCAAAACAAGAGTGAACCTACCCCTAGAACATGGAAAGATACACGGGCATGATTTTGTCTTTTGTGGGAGCGAGGCCCATTCTGGGCATATGATCTCGAAGTTTTTTTTTTTAATTCAGTAAATGGAGGCTACCGTGTAGCAACTGCAGGCTAGCTCTTTTCTTCTTAAGAGTCTTCGAAAAAGCCGAAAAGTTTTTCATAGTAAAAAACAAATTTAAAATTTTTGAATATCGTTAGTCAAAGAAATTGGCTGTATTTTAACAGTTCATGGGTGTACCAATTGAGCTATGCCCGTTGGTCGGGGGACCTCTTGGCCGGTCAAAGGGCGCGAGTTGTTACGTTTCGGCCAGCAGTGGGAGAGGCCAGGCGCGGTAGCGACGCCGACTGTCACGCCACGCAGTCTGTTGTTCGGTCGCCGCGTCCGATCGCCTCGGGGGTGTGATCGCACCCTCAAGATCTCGCCGCCTCGTGACTCAAGATTGCGAAGACCAGTGGTCGACACGCGGCAGTGGTCCGGGCCGCCGTCCTTCGGCTGATGTCAGCCTGATCAGTAGTACAGCGGGCCTTCATCTGCCCTGGCCCACAGCCAGGGCCTATTAGGCTATTTGTCAGTCCGGCCTGTGGGACCAGGCCGTGGCCTGACCCCACAGGCCGTGCGGTTATTCAGTCCAGTCCTGCCCGGTACCACTGTCGGTACCAGTCTAGTCCAGTCCAGTCCAGTCAGTCCGCTGGGGGTATACCCCAGCTGCAGTCTGTTTTGTGGCATTCTTCATTTGCACAGATTGGAGTACGTGCGTGTTGAGTCTGCGTTGGAGCTGCGCTGTCCCTTCCAGCTCCATCTCCAGCTCCATCTCCATCTCCCCCATCCTCATCCCTTCGTCTTGATCCTGACGGACCGCCATCCAGGCGGGTCCGTCACAAGTAGCGTGTCTCCCTTGGAAGTGCGGTTTGGCGATCGGCACGCCAAAGACCCTTGGAGCTGCGTCACCCATTGGAACATATGCGGAGTTGCAACTTGCATCCATAGCAGCATAGGTACAAATACCGGAGAAAGCAGAGCACTTTCGTGCAACACTAGTCGTTGTTGATTCTATTCGTTGTTGTAGGTCGGCGGTAGCGTTGGAGCAAGCGGTGTGGTGGCATTGTTGATGAGCGCTATTCGGGTTAGTGCGCTCTGCTACAAGTTCGCTAGCCGGACGTGGGCAGCGTTCGACAACAGAAATGCCTGTAGAAGCCACCGCCCGACGGGGAGAAATGACGGAGTTTTTCGGGCTGGTGGTTTAGATTGTGCTGTCGATCGTTCGTTGAGCTCTCCGCTCACTACGCCAACCGGATTGCGGCGGAGCATCAGCTACAGAAGAAAGAGGAGGGCGGGGTCGGGGAAGTTGCTGCGCGAAGTGGACCAGTTGCGACGTCGAGAGCTGCGGTTCGGTGTTGATCCCGATTTGCGCTTCCTGCGGACTCAGCTGGCGCGGACGACTAGCCGCCCTCGATCTTGCTGGAGGAAACCTCTGTTTGAAACTCGCGGGCTACGCTCTTCTCGTTGTGGACCTCCTTTGAAGGTAGAGAGCTCGCAAGATCATGGTCGCCATTTGCGGCATGGAGAGACTGGATTGAGCTTTGCTGACAGAGTCTACGATTGCCTCTCGCCGCTTGTGAGACACGACATGTCTATGTCATTTTCGCCGCAGGTACCTTCCCGCTTGCGCCGACCTGGTTGCGCCTGTTTTGCCTCGAGCTTGGCCATCCCAGATTCCATCGACGAAGAAGGATACGACTCCGCTTCTCCTGCTTTGCTCGGCGTTAAAGACCACCTTTCTGGTGTTCCCTCCGGATTGGCCGTCGATTCTTCGTGGCCACTGATCCATTGTGAGGAGGCGTGGGAAGAAATGTCGGCCAGCATCTTCACTGGAGAACTGCCATCATCTATGGGGATTGTTGATGACAAACTCGTGGTTCACGGGGCACCGATCCTTATGGAAGTGCCGAACAATGTCGTCATTTCCCCTGATGAGACTATGTGGGGTGCCACTGGGGCTTTCCTTGGAGCCAAATTTGACAGCTTCAGCAGCCACCACGTGGTGTCCTTGGGTGTTTTGCGGTAAGCATTCCCTCTTACCTACGCTTTTCTGTTTACTGTATAATTCTATCGACGGGTTCGTGCTTTGATTGCTGTTAGATAGCGACCGACGGATGGATGGATGGATGGATGGATGAGGGGCGATGATAACGTGACCTTCTGATATTTTTGTGGCACTTGCCTGTGAGAAATTCCTAGCGCTGGTGAGATGGTCGCTTGCACTAGTTTGCATGGAATTATGACAGCCAGGTAATCAAGTTCTTGGTGGGCAATTGGAAGTCACAAACTTTATTATAATGTGTTGATCTGCTGATAGCGGGTCAGGATGTACTAACGATAATATGTTGGCGATACGAAACATGGCTAGCTGCAAAAATAACGATCGTTATCAAATCCTTGGAAAATAGTATGAACTGCATTTTCTATAAGATCGATCATTTTTTTGTCCATTGCCACAGTTGCGAATAGCTGGCATATGTAGTTTTTTTTTTTTTTTTTTTTTTTTTTTTTTTTTTGCATATGTAGTTCTCGGTTACGGTGTTACTTCTTCTAAATATGCAGTATCTGGCTGGCTCCATATGGGATGACGATCTCAATCTCGTCAAGTTGGCTTTCGATCTTTCGATGTGTTGTGCGGCCGGCAGGGTGGAACGTAGAAAATTTAATGAATGATTTAGCTTCCGATCTCGTAAAGTTGGTTTTCGATATTTCTTCCGTGTTGTGTAGCCGAGTCAGCCGACAGAGTGGGACGTGAAAAATTTCATGAACGATGTAGTATTCGCCATCCCTCTGTCCTTTTCCTGTCGGTCATTTGTTGTACAATTTTCATCGCTGTTATTTCACGAGATCATATTTAGTTCTTCCGCGATCTCTCTCGTTCTCATGCCATCGCCTGAGGCTCGGCGAGGAGTTGTTCCTCATCGTTTGGTATTCTCAACGTATATTATGCATATTGCTATCGACCATGTAAGTTTAGCCTGGTTGGCTGTGTGCCATCGTTTTGATGATGGCGGCAATCGATTCCCTATATGGCTACATTGCTATGTCCCCGTCTTCCCTGGAGACTTTCTAAACCTCTTTCTCTCTCTCTCTCTCTCTCTCTCTCTCTCTCTCTCTCTCTCTCTCTCTCTCTCTCTCTCTCTCTCTCTCTCTCTCTCTCTCTCTCT